CTTTCCTTTCCATTAATGGAGTAATTGCTTCTTTCTGGGCTGTTGGACTCAGCTTATTGTATAGCACTGCCACTCTTAAATCTGTACACAAATGTCCACTAACCTGGCAATAGCCTCCATTAAAGTAAATAATCATACTCTATCATAACTAATAATTATTAAATATTGAACCTTTATTAAAAACTGGTACTCTCACACTCTTTGTATCTCTCTCTCTCTCATTCTGTCTCTCTCTCTCTCACACACACACGCATGAACCAACTGCAGAATCTGAGTTCCTAAGAATTGGGATACAATACCATTCTACAAAATAATAATAAAAAAACACAACTAGATTTTTAGCTACATCTCATATGGGACCCAAAACACATTTTGATAACTGAGAGTTTTTGACATCATTAATAGACGTGGAGAATCTGATTATGCTTTACAGGTACTGACTCATGTTCAGACGGTATAAAAATGTAATTGCCATAGAGACCTTAGAGACTTTAGCCCAGGGATACAAGAATCTTTATTATTTTAGGCAAAAGGAGCACTTGTGGTGCACTACCCATTAGGCTTTTGAGAGAAGGCTTTCCTTGAAAAAACATTCAAGTGAATATTGCATGACTTAAAGGAGGGGTGGCCAACCTCTGCCATAGGTGCTACGAGTGGCATGGGCAGCCTCTGTGTGTGGCACATGGCTGACTGAGGACAGGGTGGGGAGCAGAAGGCAAAGCGGCAGATTGGGCAGGAGAAGGAATCAGAGTGGTACTCAGGGAGGGTGCAGGGCTAATTTGTGGCAAATCTACCCAAAAGTTTGGCCCCCACTGTACTAAAGAACATGCAGATTTTGTTAGGCTTCAAATATGAGACAAATGGAAGCATACACACACACGCACACTCATTGAACCATCAGACAGCAGTCATGCTTCATTCTAATCCTGGTGGGTGGCAAGCTTCACAAAGCAGAGATTGCACACAGGCATAAATGTACCTCATGGCTCTGGAATTGCATCTCTATACCCTCCTCCCATTCCTCCAGCCATGATCATGTCAACCCTCATCCCTACCCAGGACTTTTGGGGAGAGAAATCATGATTATAGTAGCCAATTGGTAGAAATATTATGGAGTTCCTAGGGCAAGTGGAAAATGTTGTGCTACGATTCACAGCTCATCTTCTGTATTTTATAGTTCTGTAAAATGCCCTCAGCCTTGGATAAGTGTTTTAAAAGATTGAAGGCAATAAAAATTAATAAAGACATTTTGAGGCTCACCGCAGTCCAAATCTGGCAGCCTTTAGGACACATCTGCTTAATCTGGGTTTGAGTTGATTAGGGTCATAGCTGAGTGAGTATTTATTGATGTGCACACGTGGGGATGGAAACAGTCTGGGATAATCAGTTCACTGTCATAATGGTTGGCAATAAATATTGACTGATTTTCATTTTCACAAATTAGCCCAAATATGAATATCCTGGGTGCCAAATAAACTCCAGATCCTGAAAAGACCTGGAAATACATATAATGTTGTGAACAGGAGTAGTTATACTGACGTCATACTTGAAGTTATGCACAAATTTAGGTCTTTGAAGACGCGGGACCTAGATCTGCACATCCTGTAGACAGAATATAATCACACACACAGTTTAATTCATACTCTCTTGTCAAGCATAGAAACACTTAACAACAAGTTGACACTTAAATATTCAAAAACTATCATCATAAAGCAAATTTAAAAGCACTGTTGGGATGCATGTAGGGTGCTTGGCTTGAAGTTGTAATCATAGTCTCTTTCAAACAGGCTCATTATTGAAAATATGGAAGAGCAAATGTTTATTTTTTCTGAGAAAGCCAATAATCCAATAGATGAAAAATGTAAGAACCAAATATTGACAGAGTGCAAGGAGTCATGATCAAGGCAATATAAGGCATCTGCCTCATGCTGGCACCTGCACTTTGTATGCAAAAAGCACTTGATCCTTCAGCTGAACTGTTAATAACACTCCCATCTCAGGTCTGTAAACAAAGACATCAAGCCCACATTAAAAAAAATGCTGGGAAGAAAATTGGCTAAAACACTGTGCAAGTTCCACTATTTTAACAAATCCTGCAAATTACAGCATCAATGGAATCCTCTTTGTGATTTCATCCAAAAAACACTGGGCCAATGGGAGACTTTCCACTGAGTTCATTGGGCTTTGGAACAGGCCCTTAAAAGCCCAGCCACTGTCATCTATGACAAGAGTCATGGTCAGTAGGTTTAATGGCTTCAAAGGCTAGGGACAGACATTCAAAAAGCCGGAGCCTGAGTTGATTCAACCCTTGCAGGTTAGGCTAACCTGTCTAAGACGAACCGGTTTGTAACAGGACAAACATTCTCCCTGGACTGAGGCAATGCAGGCACATGCCTGCAGTTGCTTAGGCCAGGCGCTGGGAGGTGCTAGAGTATGCCCTTAGCTACAGGGAAGCTGTGCTGAGGGGGGGTGGGGAGGGCAGTCCGGGCTGAACTGGCCAGAGAGGGGTTTAATTCCTCCCTCTCTATTCCACCAGCAGAGACCCAAGCCATGTCAGCCGGGTGCTCCTCCTCATTGCTGCAGCAGTGGGGCACCACGGCCCCTGAGGCAGAGGCAGAGGCAGGGAGGAGAGTTAGTCTCCCCTCTATTCCCACTGGCAACCAGGTCTGCCTCCATCACCACCATGCTCCCTGCCCTGGAATAGGCCCCCTACAATGGAGGGAGGGGGAATAAACCCCAGCCAGTGTCTAGCCATGCCCCTGCCCTGCCACTGCAGCGGGAGGAGGCAGAGCCCTTGTTGGAGGCAGCAGCCCCTGTCATAATGTGGTGGAGCACGAGCTCCTTCCTGGCAGAGGTGCTGTGCTGCGGGGCTGGCAGAGCTGCGGCAGGCTTCAGTAGCACCGGGATCCAGAGCAGGCCAGAGCCCTGCAAGCCCCCACCATGCTGCTGCATTCAGCAGCAGCTCTGCTGGCCCCACAGAGCATCCCCCACTGGGAAGGGGATTGTACTCGGCAGGCTGCTGCCTGCCATGGTCACTCACCGCTTGCTGCTCTAGCTACTGGGTGGGGGTGGGGCTGGCCTCCACTGCTTGGCCTGTGCTCAGGGCAAGCCCCTCCTGACAAGAGGGGGCTTATTAATCCTCTGGCCAGAGCACAGCCTGTGCGGTGGCTGCAGCTGGGCCGGGCAGACCCCATTGCAGTGCCAGCAGCCTTTCTGTGCTCGGGGAAAGACCCCAGCAGGAGGGTGCTTATTCAGCCACTGGCACCGCAGCAGGGTCTGCCCAGCCTGGCTCCCACCACTCTGTGCTCGGGGCCAGCAGCTGAATAAGCCCTCTCCTGTTGGGAGGGAGCCATCCCTGAGCACAGAGCAGCAATGGCCGGGCTGGGCAGACCCAGCTGTGGTGCCAGCGGCCTCTCTGTGCTCAGGGCAACCGACAGGAGGGGTTTATTCAGCCACTGGCCACTGGCACTGCAGCGGAGTCTGCTCTGCCCAGCTGCAGCCGCTGCTCGGCCTGTGCTCAGTGCCAGCAGCTGAATAAACCCCCTGTTGCCAGGAGGGTGCTTGTCTCAAGCACGGACAGAGCACTGGGGGGCCAGGCCCTGCCCGTCCAGCAGCTGGAGTGGTGAGTGACCAAGATGGGTAGCAGCCCATTGTAGCAAGAAATCTTTTTCTTGCCTGCCCCCACTCCAATGTGAAGCCCCCTCCATATGGCAAAAGCCCCTTTTGGAGTATTTGCCCCCTTTTGGGGATGCTTTCTCTTTTCTACCTTTTCTTGCCTCCTCCTCCTTCTTCTTTTATTATATTATTATTATTTTTATAGAATATAAGGTGTACTTGTAATAAAAATACAGTTTGTAGATGCTTTTATGGGTATAAAATAGTATTCTGCATCAGTATGACCCCCACCCCTCATTGTATTTGGTCTGTTTGTTGTATGTGCCATGGCATTTTACCCTTTTATGTTTTATATTCTATGCTTTTTAACTTTGTAACAAATGTACTTTAAGTTTTAAAGTAAGTTGTACCATGTAACAATGTTAGCAATGGCCGGAATCAAACCACGGCTTCTCTGTATTGAGCGGGTCCCTGAATAAATCATGATTGATTGCGTAACACAGTAGCTAGCCAGGATAACAAGTTAATGAGCAGCAATTAACACTTAGGAAACCACAGACTAACAAGAGGACAGGATCAATACAGAGCCAGGAACTCCCTGAAACTTCATTAAAGGTACAGAAGCCCTGGAACTAATCAACGCCGAAGACTGACTCTCGGGACTGAATACTGCAGGGCTGGCAGAGTTGCTGTAGACCATGGCAACACTGTGGTGGGGGTTGCAGGGTTGTGGCCCACTCCCAACCCTGGTGCTGCCGCGTGCAGCCTGCCACAGCTTCACTGGCTGCTCAGTGCAGCACCTCCACTGGGAAGGGGCTCACACTCCCTCACATTATAACATTAAATCACATTAAAACAGTGATTGATTTTCAATCTTGTTAAACTCAAGACACCATTTGGAAAATGCTACCTCCTAGCTGTCAGCAATTTTTTGACTACGGAATAATTACAGAGCAATTCTGTTTGCAAAGAAATCAGATATTTTCTGACCTATTGCAGTCTATGGGATGCTATGGATTCCTATTTGAAATATTTGTGTTTATCTTGTGAATCATGTGTATGCACTAATATTGCAAAGTACTTCTCAGCACCCTTCTAAGAATCTTCTAGCACCCTAGGGTACTATGGCACCCTGGCTGACAATTACTGCCCTAAACAAAGATGGAAGGGATTTAAAAAAAATTAAAAAGCTAAAAGTAATTAAATACAGATTGTTCTGGGAATCTGGATAGCTGAAGTATTTTAATTGTTATTCTACCAAAATAAAATGGAAATTCTGCCTAAACAGCTTCTGAATGCAGGGTGGAAAAGGTCAAGGAACCTGAAAATCAGAAGAGACTACAGATTTTGTTTTCTGAACAAGAGATCAATAATTTATGTGTGGGAGCTTATTTACATGGATTACTATTCTCTACCAACAGCTGAAAGCTAATCACTTTTTGATTCTACTTCTGGTTTGGTAAGTAATTTTTAACTACTTTTTGGAGCAAGAAGAGAATGCCTGAGGGGCGTGGGAGGTATATGAGGAAGCAAGCCAAAACCCACAGTTTAGTTTCTTCTTAAGCCCAGTTTGTGCTTCTGATGCTCTTCTCCCAAAATGTAGAGGCATCTGAAAAACAGGACTCTGTTCAACTTTTTATTGCAGGTCTACTGCCATATCCCATAGACACATATTAAAGAGATTGTTTCAACTGTACCTGCCATATTTACAAACAAAGAGAGACACGTATTGAGTAAGTATGACATCCTGCTACCAAGCTTCAAGCATAGTCTGCTTTACAGCAATTGATGCACTTGCAAATAAATACTACAGACATCATTAACATTAAAGAGTTCAATTGAAAAGGTAGCCTTGGCTACATGAGAAAATTATACTAATTTAACCCAATTTCTTTAGAAACTAATTTACTTAAATCAGTATGGCTAGGGACAGACATTACACATAAACTGGTTTAAGTGATCACAAACTGATTTAAACCTGTAACAGAACAGATGTTCAGTGCACATAAACCAGTTTGAAAATGGCTGAAACTGGCTTGAGATAAACCTGGTTGATTTAGCTCAAACCAGTTTATGCAATATCTGTCCGAGACCCCTTGCTGGTTTAAGATAAACCAGAGACTCCCAATATCCTGGCATGCTCTCTGGGCTGGGTGTGTTGAGCCCCAGCTCAAGTCTGGGATCGTGCCCGGTATGCAAAAGCCAATAAAGATACCAGGGGTGAAAGTATAAAGAAGATTTATTGCTAGCAATACAAGGTGCAAGCGGAATAATTTTACGTAACAAGCACCCAGATTTTTAATTTTAAGCATCTTTTATACAGGAGTATTGGACCTTTATAAGCATTCTTGTTTGCTAATTGGTTATAAGGGAGTGACGCAAGGAGTTCTTTACTGAGCATGTTTCTATACCTGTGTTTTAGCTATGTATCTCATTTACATACATGTATGTTTCATTAGCATACTTTTTTCCCACCTAGGGGTGTGATTTTTAATATTTAAATTAGCTCTTTGCCCTAGTTCTCTGATTCTGCTTTTGTTTTCAAGCATCCTTTATCTAAAACTGTCTCCTCCTTATCATTGCAGATGGGCATTAGTTACATAACAGAAACTTTTGCTTGGGCTTTGTATAGTGGTTTTTAGGTTAAACCTGACAGGTGGGGCTCTCTGCTCCACAGCAGGCCTGGTCCCTTCCCTCTCCTGGAGCTCCATAGAGTACAGGCTGCTTCCCCCCTCCCTGTTAAACAGGAATTCCCCTCTTCCTGCTTCTGTCTTGCTGAGGAGATGTCTGTGTATTAGCTAGCAGACCACATGCTGGCTATGGTCCCTGCTGAATCAACAGACAGAATCAACAAGTAGCTGGTAATGTCCCTTGTTGTTTTCCTAATTGGGTGATAAACACTGTTGTCAATTCCTTGCTGGGCTAATCACAGCATCCTGCCAGAGCCTGGCCATGTGCCCCTCAGCTCCATGCTGTGGAAGGAAGGGAGGGTTGCTCTAGTGACCCCTGGCTTCTAGCCTGAGGCACCCACATGCCTGCAGTGGATTTCTGGGATGTCTGTCCGATTACAAAACTGATTTAACCTAACCAAGTTAGACTAACCAGCAAAGACTGAATCAATTCAGGCGCAGGCTTTTTTAATCTGTCCCTAGCCTACAAGCCCCTTCCATGGACATTCTGATTTGTATTCCTTACAAGGTTAAGCTTAACGGATATAAGAAGAGCTGTGTAGAGGGTATTTTACAAAGGGTTTTTGAGTATGTAATACAATAATAAAAAATACAAAATGAAAAGTAGTTTCAAAATGAGAAATATAAAAATGTTGTTCTTTAAATTATCAAAAGGAGGCATTTCTATATTGTTGGAAATGTTGTCTTCAGTTATTTAATAAAAACAAATCCAGGAAAATAAGTCATGGCTGTGAATATTTGTCATATATAATATAACTGCGTATTCCAATAAAATAAGATTCTGTCCAAATTTCTTTGACCACTTCTGGATATAAGAGTCTCAAGCAATAATAAGCATGCCTGGAGAAAGGGGTTGCACCAATTGACAGGCATTTTCTAAACAGATTTAATTAAAACCAGTGATAAGATATTACCAAACTTTCTAGTCATTAAAACAAAGATGCACCTCTCTGGACTTTTCATTAAAAGGTGGCTAAAAGAATAAAACAAATTTTCAACTGGAATCTACACATAGTCTTGCATAAAGATAAATCATAGCTGATTATAATTACCTGGCCTATTCCTCTGTTTACATCATTCAGCTTTCAAGAATGCTGTCATTATGAGATTCCCACATCCATGATTAAATAGCAGGTAGATTTTAAAGATCTGTTTTCTCTAGCTTTGCACAACAACTACTGAGAACAAACAATACAGCACCTGGTAAAATGAGTCAGTAGTCTGTGTCCTTTTAAAGAGCAAGTGAATCAGATGCATTTTGGAATGATGCCACCTGGAAGTGGCACAATGTAAAGCATACGCAAGAGAGAACCATCAGAGTCAAATCCTGGCCCTACTGACCATAATATGGTCAGGATTTCACTGTATATGTATTCTTTATTCCACAATCTCTGCCTCTATGGTGTTACATTGGTTGAAATCTTGTGAACACTTATAGTCCAATTTGAATGTAAATATGTGGGATATGCACCTACTCCTCTATCACCTGCCCAGAATCACACAGTAAAATGCAGGATCACTGGCTCTCCCATTTATAATTACCCAAGCCAGCCCATCCTATATTTTGTTTTCCTTCAGCTTGGTCCCTCTTTCTTATTTTCACAGCCATTCCTGTTTCTCTCCTGCTTCTGCCCTCACTACCCATCAGTAGATTTACAGATTCCTTGAAGTGACTTTACAGATTAATTCAGTCTCAGTCCATTTATCATTTAGGTTGACATCCACCTCCCACCTAAACATGATGCTCAAGAAGGAGCTGCAAGAACAGGACAGCTTTCAAAACTCATTTAGGAAAAAAATGAGTTTTTTCCTCTGCCCTCCACCAAAGAATTGGGGGTTTCTTTTACGTTTGTCAAAATGATGCTTGCGGCATAAATCTTGGGGAGAAGAACTCTTAAATCAGCTATGGAGCAGCAAACCATCAAGCAGCACCTAAATAATGCTGGTCCTAGTCCTCTCACAATTTTCAGAAAAGAAACTTCCCTTTTCCTCAGTTCCCATTACTTGAAATACATCCCTTTATGGTAACGGATTTTCTAGAGTATGAGAGACAGGCTCTAGGTGCACTGATGGGTCAGTATCCCCACTCCTATATCCATTTGCAGCATCTCCCTCCTATATCCATTTGCAGCATCTCCCTCCTATATCCATTTGCATCAGTTTTCCACCCTTCTCCTATCCTTTTCAACATTTGTTCATTTTTCCCCCTCTTTCCTTAATTTCGTTTATATTTCTAATTTTTTCTTCTGTGACTGCCCCTTTTGTTTTGCCACTCAAGAGAAAAGTATAGGCCTTTTGCCATTCGTTAGTAAATGAGGAGGACAGTGTTGTCTTCTGGCTGAACACAGTACCATAAAAATCAAAATTAAAATAGCTTAGGCCTGAGGGAAGCTACCTGTTAAAACAGTCCTAGATGAGCAGCATCTACGATTGTTTTAAGAGCTACAGTGCAATCAGGAACAGAAAGCAATTTCTCTAAATAATGTTCTCAACAGATGCACCCAGCACCATTCCCCAACCTAATAGGAAAAAGAGTAGGTTGTAACAGGTCCTTGAAGTGGAAGCAAAAGGGATCAGCCACATTGCCTATGTTGACAGAATCCCTTCTTATTGTTTTTTTCCTATACAGTACAAACATTGCAAAATGTGTTCTATGCAGACCATCACATACAAGAAGTCACAGTTCAACAAATCAAAGTTTAATACAATAAAATGGAATCAAGTAGAGAAAGCAGCAGAAATATCCAGGGTATTATCAATGTAACCCAGGTGGTACTCGGTTACGTACCCCTGCTCTTAGTGAAGGGCTGTTAGCAAGTGGAGGTGCATTGTGGGAGGCATAACTGCCCAGCTGTGTGCAGCTTTCCTCCTATCCTTATACTGCAGAGCTGGAACATGTGTTGAAACTTAACTATATATAAATTTAATAGGATATAGAAGTTATAATATTAACATACATACATATACGCACACACACACACACACACACACATATATATATATATATAAATAAAAATACAAGAATTATAATTATATATAAACACTCTATATACAGGTGAGAGATCAGGAGGTCAAAAAAGTGTTTCATTGAATGTTATGCAGTCTTATACTCTAATAGGGTGCAAAGTTACAAAGCATAAGGTGCAGGGTTCACAAATGAAGCAAAGGTCAGCATACTGCCAGAGCACAACGGTTGTGCCCCAAAAGAACCTACCCTGGATGGTGGGGCAGGGGAAGGAAAAAGGAGAATGGATACCCCAATGCCCTAAGGGCCAACTTTAACTCTGTCCAAATCACCCAATTGGCCAGGCCTCAACCCCAGAGCCCCTCCTTCCTTTGGGGTGTCTCCCCAGCTGTATGCCATCAAAGGGAGGGCCTCCCTCCCCTGTAGGAATCCCCTTTCCTGGGTGACTTACAACTCCTCTGGGGCCTGTTGAAGCTGCACTCATCTCTTGGGGCTGCACTTATCTCTTCCTCCTTCTGAGTTGGGGCTCTCCTAGACTTTAGGCCCACTTGTGGCCCTGTGCACTGGCCCATGCACCAATGGCCCTGCCTTGTACAGGAGGGTTGGAGACACAAGCTGCCCAGTGCGGCTTCAGGACCTCGGTCCGCTCCTGAACCCTCCATGCACTGACCTGTGCACCACTTGCCCTGCCTTGTGCAGGGGTTGGATACCCAAGCTGCCAAGTGGAGCTCCAGAGTCTCAGTCCACTCCTGGATTCTTCATGCACCGATCCATGCACCAGCCGCCCTGCCTTGTGCAGCGGGGTTGGAGACCTGAGCTGCCGCATACAACACTGGGGTCTCAGTCCGCTCCTGGACCCTCCATGCACCAACCTGTGCACCGACACCATACTCCCTCATGGCAGGGCTGGGGACATAGCCACTTGCCACTCCCCATCTTATGTGTCATCTTCTGGGCTTTTCTGGGGCAACCCCTCTGCCCTGATGGCCAGCTCTGCCAGTTCTTCTTAGTCCTCTTCTTCATCCCTCATTGCAGCCGTCAGTCTGCTAGGCATGCTGCCTTTTTATCCTCTTCAGAGGCTTGGATTGGAAATGAAACAATTAGACAGAGGGGAGTGCTAGTCCCCTCTCTGGTCTGGCTCTTCACTTTACCCCTGGGTAGAGGCAGGGCAAGCCTCTCCCCATCCAGCACCTGATTGGTGGGGAGGGAAGAAATGCCCCCACCAATCACTTTAAACCTTCTTGAAAATCAGTGCACTGGGCTGCTGCCGGCAAGCCCACCACATCAATAAGGTAACAGCAGCCAGAAATACTAACAAGGCCATATGTGTCCAGAAAAAAATGGAGCAGAAAAACACAATCAGAGATCAGTTACAAAGAAGCTCCATTTTGGATACAGAAAAGAAAGCCTGTAGGTAATGTAGAGCATTTCTCACTTTCCAGGTTTCCTCTGGTCAACTCTAAAGCCCAAAGTGAATGAACCCTTTCCTCTTCCTTTTCAAAGAATCCTTGCACTGCTCTCAGGCCACGAACAAATAAAAAATAAATTAAACTCAAGCACCAGCAATACTTGTAGAAAAATGATTTTGCTACAATCTTCTTCTTGTATGTAGCAAATAATCTCCCCTGCTTTGTAGTGGCAGGGGAGATTATTTGCTACATACAAGAAGAAGATTGTAGCAAAATCATAACAGGGTTTAGTGAAGAAGTCTAACTACAGCCAGTACTATGTTGTTCAACGTCCATAAAACAGCATAGCTTATTGATTAAGTTTTTCAGTTGACAGAACTTTCACAAACAAACATAACCCCAATTTCAGTTCCACCAACAAAAGCCTCCTGGATACCAAGTATCAGACTTTCTGGAGATACAAGCACCCGCAACCAATTTGTATTTTCAAAGGCATCAAAAATGCCCAGCTTCCTTGAAAGACTTTCCATGGTCTCTGAAGTAACACGTACTAGAAATGTCAATGTTTCAATAAACAATTTTTTTTTCCACCTCTCTTTCTTCAGTACTGAGAAAAATTTAGGTTTGTTTTTTTTTTTCCCCAGGATTACAACAGTCCCCACGGAGACACTGAGCATCACCTTGCTGGACCAAACGGATGGCACCGAGACAATAAATCAGGTTGTGCTAACACAGTATGCCAACATGCTCAGCAAAGCCAAACATTTGTTGAAACACACACAAACTGAAATTTAGTGAGACAGGAACCATCTGAGGATTACTGTCCTGTAAATCAGCTGTTTCCAATTACAATAAAAATGGAGGGGAAAAAGATATAGACAAACTATATAGATCAGCTGTCTATCTCATTCATTTATCTACAGAGACAGTGAGAGAAAGAGACCAGGGAGCTTATGTATGCATTTGCGTTTCCAGATAGGCATTCATTTTCAATTCCAAATCAAATTTATATAAATATCAGTCTGTACTCACATATTAATAGATAGAGAAAGTATAGAGAAAGTGTTAGACATCTTTAAACTATGAACATCTCCACTGCTTCATATTGAATAGAGATGACAGATAAGACGAGCCACTTTTTAGAAATTTAAAAGAAAAAAAGAAGTTCTAAAGTCACACTAACCCTTCCTTTTCCCAGGAAGGGTAAGGGGAGCATCTCTGAATAATGTAATGCTTCACTATTCACATAAACTTCTGTTTATTTTATGACAAAATAGAGACGGATAACCTTGGTCCATTATAACTGCCCCTGATGCCTGGAAGAAATGCATTAACCTTTTTCTCCACTACAACATAGGAGTAAATCAGTCACAAATGAAAAAAGATGGTCTCACCTCAAAATCAATCCTTAACAGACTTTCAAAAAACCTCTTCCATTTACCAGCATTCATGTATTTTCTATCACAGTGCCCTTCTTAAAAGGACATTTTACCACTTCCTTGAAAATCAAAACCTGCCTTGCCTACTTTTGTCTGTCACCTGCTATGGATTATCCTAACAATAAGATGAGTTTCAGCATCTACACAAACAATTCCTGTAGAAATGTCCCAGCATGGGTATACCTACCTTACCAAAAGCAGCAGGAGCCTGTAACTGAAGACAGCATTCCCATACAGCTTACCCCAATCATGCTAAGTACAGCTAACTACAGATCTAAAACAATAACGCTGATTTCATTTGGCAACCTAACCTCAGATATTTTGGCTATTTGGGAGCAAGAGAGACAAAAGACAGCTATGTATGCATGCACTATTGGTATGTACCTAAAACAAATTCTGAAAACACACAGACCACCGTTAGCTTCTAGTACCACCTAAACGTAGGGATCTTCTGAATTCGCACTTGCAATTTTTGTGGAAACTGCAAATTCAGGCAGGTTCTGCAAACAATGGCAGGCTCTGCAAACTTGCCAGCAAGCAGAGAGTTTTAGAGCACGGAAAGGGCAAGGAGACAAGGGATCAGGGAGGAGTGGGGGCAGGGCTGTTCACAGCAGGAAGCATGGAGGCTGAAAGCAGCTACTGCAGCCTCCATCCTTCCTGCTGTGAGCAGCTCCTCCCTGCCCCCACAATCCCTTGTCCTCCTCTACCTTCCCCCTACCCCCCATGCTCCAAAACTCTGCTTGCCAGTAAGCTGCTTATTAATATTATTATTATTATTATTGCAACTAGCACACCAAAATTGCTGGGCCCGCTGCTTGGGGATGGCCTGCAACTGCAGCTTAATTACCCTGATTAAGCTCAGGGAAGTCATTAATCCATGCTTAATAACACATAGATTAATGACTTCTCCAGGCTTAATTAGGTAGTTAATCTGTGGTTTTGGGCCATGTGGCAATCCGTAGAGAGGGGCAGGACTGCTGGGGCCCCTTGGCCAGATATTGGGGGGGGGCTGCTGTGCTCAGCGCATGAAAATTGCAGCCAGCCCCAGGATCTGCCCACAAACTCAGCCAGCCACCTCTTTAAGTTCATTAAACCCCTACCTAAAGATCCCCTGCCCAACCAAAATTAGAACAATCAGCTTCCAGCATAGGCTTCAACATGTAAGCTCACCAGCTGCTGATGCAGTAAGTCATTCTCTTCATTCCTCTTCCCCATCTTGTAGTACTACACATTTAGGTATGTTATATGGGGCTTCTGGGCAAAACCCTTGATTTGTTTAAAAGATTGATTTCAAAAGATCTGTGCCCATGGATGTCTGCCAAGATTCAAGGCTTCTTTTAAAGAACCCATTACGTGGTACTCTTGGAGGAGAAAAAGATAGAAAGAGATACTGAAATTACTTTACATTCATCCATTACTTTTCATTGGAAGAGTCAGACTCCTCTACAAATGCAAATTCAGGAATCATTCCAAGACCTCTGGGAAATAGATGAACAGTATATATCCCATTTAGAAAGAGATGAAAGAAGTCATAGAAGGATTAATTTGCCCAAGGCAATACAGCAAGAATGTGACAGAGGTTGGAATGGAAGACCCAATCTTCTGATACCCAGTCCCTGGAGGGAAGGCATGCAAAACACTTTCACCTTCTGTGAAGAATTTGTGTGTCACACCATTTGGATATTCCTGAGAATACAAAGTCTGACAGAAGACCATACCCCTGTTCCTGTTTAAAATACATTGTGTTTTGTTGGCTGCTTTGTCATCAAGGAAAACTAAAGTCTGATTTAAAAGGCAAGGTTTCATTTTCACCTGGAAGCTAAAAAAACTGGCACTATGAGTCAGAAACCTTTGATTCTCCTAGGTACGCTAACAATGCAGACTTTTGCAAGACTAATTAATGGTGAAATGCAGTATTATAAAGTGACACTGGAGCAGAGAGGGGAAATTTTGATTCATGATATTTTGGATTGCATTGCTCTAATTGTTTCCCTGTGTAATTACACATATTCTAGATAATGTTCTTGTACTCCAATTTGTCTTAATATATAATAGTGTTGTAAACACTTTCTGTCTCCAGAGAATCTCCTTGGAATCAAGGTGATTTATCTAAAAGGGGATATAATCCTTGTTTACAGTGTTTTAATACATTAGATATGAATCTAAATACATCTTTGGAATTAAACAGTTACATAAATGTATTTTTGATAGGAATAAAAAAGGAAGTACAAAGTTTAAACCCTGTCCAAGTGGCAGCAATGGTTTATGTCATTTCTTCTTGTTATTTAATTCCTCTGCTACTGAAGACCACAAGTTACCATTATATCTCAGTTCTAATATGCCAGACCTTTGTTCTATCATGGGCTTTCACAATGGAATGATCAGTTAGAAAGGAAAACATATTGCCCTGCCATTGGTCTGATCTGTATAGGGTTCCTCAAGATAGGGATAGACAAACTTACCTCACAATTGAACCCATATATGAAGAAGAGAAGTTAATTAACTTATCAGCTGTAATTTCTGTATCCCCTTAACCTATGTCTTGAGGGTCTTGAGCTAGCCCAGGAACACTGTTGAGAAATAAATCCCATCCATTCATATCTGCTCCATGTATGACCAAGTCTACAGGTTAGGCAGTGTAGACAGCTTTGAAGCAACCCTGAGCAACCACCCTAGCAACATACTCAGAGGTACACCTGAGCTCTCTGTGCCATTTAGTTTGTGGGGCAAGGCATGCACAGAGGTTGTCTCCATCAGCAGTCCCAGGCTCACTAGGAAGGCTGCACAGACACTGTGTTAGTAATCTTCTCTTGTTCAGATGTCTGCTATTCTACCAAATTTACTGACCCATTTTCAGCAGAAGGGCTTCTAACTTTCCAACAACATTCAACAATCTTATGTGCTTTTTGTAAAAGGAACCAACAAGGCATAAGTAGGTAACAATGACAGGGCAAGTGGAAAGGATGTCTTAGGGTTCTATCTTTTATTGGACTGATTATGTAATTGGGATAAAGTTAGACAAGCTTTTGAATGCGAGGCATTCTTTGTCAGGTTTCTGCTCATCGGTACACAAATACAGCACAGTGATACACAACAGAGGGCAAGAGGAGGTGTATGAGAGCTGATATACCAATTGCATCGGAAGATGTCCCTACCTCCGAACAAACCACTTCTGCCTGGTTATTCCAGCTATTTTACCAAAGAGTGTGGCCCGAAGTAGTTGCAATGCAGTCCAGCAGCCAGCCAAATACATTTACCCCTTATATTTGAGTTCTGAAGCAGCCATTAGACATTCTCCTGCCCCTCAGGGGAAACTCACTCAAAGCATTTCCTTGTAACTTTTTTATTAAATTGCTGAATTTAGATCCATTGTACTGTTTTTAAATCACTGCTGTTGTAGTGAATAGGAAAATTTAAAGGCGATGCTTAAATAAATCCAGCCACCTTTATTGCCCTGGGGCACGGATTGATTTGCATATTTATTAGGCATATTTTATAAGAGTACACAGCCCAATACACCGGCTGCTGTGACACAGTTATTTTCTAGAACATAACTTGTTGGCAGTCACGGGCATTACATGAAACACACTGGGTGGGGGAGGAGGGGATGGATATTACGTATTCCTTGTAAAAGAGAATAAAACAGGAGAATGAAGGAAATAGATTGGGTGCCTGAGGGTATAAAAAAAGAACAAATTTTGAAGGAACTCATTATTAACTCTCCTAATAATGCAAATTTAAATGTTCAAAAACAACAACAAAAAAGGAATAGAATTGGAGTTAATTTTCTGAAGACATGAGTCCCCTTGAATTGGCTGATGAAAAACACAATCCATTTTCTTGCCTTTTTGTTCCTTAATGGGATTCAAATAATCAATTATTCAATTTAATTGCAATAGAACCAGTTTCTCCCCACAGCTCTCCAATGTTGCTGTTAAGGTGAACAAAGCACTGAATGAGCTTAATTGCATGCAAGATGCTTGTTTGGATACAAACATAGGGTATAAAATGATTATATCATGCAGTGAATCATAGAACACAAAACTTTACATTACAGAAAGCTGAGGCTAAAGCTCTCAAATGTTAGAAGTTACCAGAATTTAAATTATTCAAGAAATTTAAATCAACCTTCTTGTGCATGTGATACTGTCTTTAAATGATCACATACTTCTTTTTTTTTAATATAGCAATCCCCCCACCCTTGTTCCATGCAGTGACCAATGGTACTCACTGAATAAGCAGCCATTCCATATTTTATTTTATTCCAGTTGTTCAGTCTGTGACCCTGTGCATTATTTACCACCAACCCTGCTTTAAAGACAGAATTATTAA